TTTTTTTTTTTTTTTTTTTTTTTTTAAGTAGGAATAAAAGCAAAATTTCTGGCTAAGCCAAAAGGATCTTTGAAAGAGGCCACGCCTTGCCACAGGCCGCACCTGGCTCCTGCCTCCCAGCAGCTGCCCGGGGAAAGGCCCACCCGGAGCCTGCGCTGTGGACCTGGTCTCGGTGCATCAGACGCTTGTTGTGTCTTCCAACACTGTGACGAAACGCCTCAGGAGGCGTAAAGGAAAGACAGGTTTATTTCGACGCATGGCCTTCAGCCGTGGTCACTGGGCCACGATGTTCTGTTCCCCAGTGGCCCAGCTTCTGGGTCAGGGAGGTCCCCCTGCCTCGGGACTGTGGAAGTGAGACAGCACCGTGGGCCGAGGCAGGGTCTCCTCTGTGCACCCCAAAGCCCTGGATGCCTCTGAATCCGGTCACCGGAGGATCCACCTCCTCACAACAGCACCAGAGGGCTTGGGGGACATCTGAAATCCAAAACTTAAGGGCTTATTTCTAGTACACATGGGGAGTGAAAAACACAGATGTTAATGAAAATGATTGGTGCTTTATTTTAAATTATTGCATTTATGCAATAATAAACTGTAAAGTTGAGATCACTAACATCATACCATTGCTTTGTTTACATGAGGTAAACGGGAGGTGTTAACAAAGAAGCATTTTCGACATTATTCAGGTAGCAAACTTAAGTCTCAGTGTCATTGTATCCCACAGTATTTCATAGACAGTCAAGATGTGAGTTTATTTGTACTTGTGCTTTTTCTTGCTACAACTGACATAGAAAGCCCTTTTTGACTTGCAAACTGAAACCAATAGAAATAAATAATAGAAACATTTCCTATTACTTAGTGAAGATTAAGCAAAGATTTATATTATTCAGTGCAGATTAAAAATATGACTGAACTTGAAAGAATGGGAGATCAGACTGGGTGTAATTTATGAATAAAGTGTAATTATTTTTACTACTAGCAGTAACCGGCAGAATTTGCAGGCATTTGGTGCTCAACTTTTATGGAATCCCTGTACTCTGATTTACATTTGAAACCTTGCATTTAGTATTGATCAATGAAACATAGACTTTAAATGTGATTTTTCATATTGAGACGAATCATCATGATTATCTAAAAACAACACTCTTATGGAATCTCAAGCATGTTAAACAAATACAGACTTGTAAATGTCGCTTGTTAAGGATATATGTACAACACTTTGTAATCAATTACTTAATTCATTACCATTGATTCAGCATTTGATGGCAGTGGTTTAAGAATAATGTCAGTAAAATTGTCTGAAACACGATACATGATACACTGCTATTAAAAGTCCTGGCTGAAAACACTCAGCATACTTTTTACATTATATATTTTATGTAAAGCAATTGCTAAAAATTTTTAAGTGCATATTTTTCTTCAAAATACACTTATTTTTATTAAATTATCCTGAAAATTTGTTGCAGTTCAGGAAATCTTCAATACATAAGCCACCAGTGTTTCCAGAAACTTGAAATCTCATTTCAAACACAGCCGTATTTTTAAATCACCACTTAATGTCATCCAGAAGCTACATATTCATTGTGGCTTTTAGCTACTTATGAATTTTGACAGAGAATTCCAAGAAAAAGCAGTGGTAACCAAAAAAACCCTGGGAAAATTTAGAGCAGAAGCTGTAAATTGATCAGGAAACAAAATGATCAAAAAAGGGATCTAAGTCCAAAAATGAGGGCAGTTGGTGACACAAACAATCAGAATTTGAGGGCCATGCAATGGACAAATGCATTCCAGAAGTGAACTTATTGAATTCATAGAGCACACTGATTTCAGTATCTACATCTGTCAAGCAGAGTTTCTTGGGGTCTTTCAGAGCAAAGAGTGGGTTGAGAAGAAATAAATATTTTGTTGCATTCATTTGTATTTTTCCTTTAAACAAGTGCTGGGGAGCTGGCTTCCCACCTGCTCTGAGTCCAGTAGTCAGAACAGTTACTCCATCCCATGTAGGCAGATTGCTTCATGCTTAGGACTTCGCTAAAGTCAAGATATCCTTGCAATGAAAAATATATCAACAGCTACTGTTTTGGAGACTTTCAGATTTCAGCAGTTATAGTGTGCTGGTGGGTATAAGGTACTGAATGCATAAATCTGTTAGAATGAAACATGTGCTGTGACTATCACGATCACAGATATCAGTGCTTGCAAAGCATAGAAATATTTATCTCAATGAGCTGGAAGTTTCAGTTATGGGTCCCAGTGTTTTATCAAGCTAGGCTTTAAACCCCGGCTATACATTAATAGAATTGTACCGTGCGACTAAACCTCTCATATTTACTTCCAGCTCTCCCAGAGAGCAAGCTTTGCCTTGCAGGACCTGGGAGGTTCCAATGTGCAGCCACGGTTGGGGTCCATTCTCCTGAGCAAAGGCCCCCGGTCCCAGCATTTCCTCGGCAGCGATTTTCACTGGGAACAATCTCGCTCCTCCTGGGACGTCTGTCAAATCTTGAGACATCTTTCTTTATTATAAATTGATGGTACTGTTGGAAGCTGGAGAGCAAAACCAAGAATGTTACACAGCTCATCACAGCAAAAGGAACCATTTGGAACAAAACATCAGCACCAGCAAGGCTGAGAAATCCTGAGACACAGATAGCAGAGACTTCTGCCTGGGAGACTAGAGACCGCGTAATCACTTTGAACGTACCCA